ATGACTGATGATGATGATGCTGCTGGCTGACTGAATGATGATGCTGATGCATGCTGATTGATGACATGCACTGATGATGCTGACTGACTGCATGATGCTGACTGATGATGCATGATGATGCATGCATGCTGCAGCTGCTGATGATGCATGCGATGCTGAGATGCTGACATGATGCTGCATGCGCTGCATGCATGCTGATGCTGCATGATGCTGCTGACTGCTGCATGCAGCTGACTGATGCTGGCAGCATGCTGCATGCTGCTGATGCTGCATGCATGCTGCATGCATGCCTGATGCATGATGCTGCTGCATGATGCATGCTGACTGATGATGATGCATGACTGATGCAGCATGATCGCATGCATGATGCATGCTGCTGATGCTGCTGCTGCAGCTGCTGACTGCTGGCTGCATGCTGACATTGATGCATGCTGACTGCTCGCTGCAGATGCTGCATTGATGAAGCTGAGCAGCTGCTGCAGCTGCATGATGGCTGCAGCTGATGCAGGAGCTGATGCTGCTGACAGCTGAAGCATTGATGCAGCTGCAGCTGCTCTGATGCGCTGCTTATGCTGCTGCAAGCTTCAGCAATGCATGCCAGAGCTAGCAGATGCCGCATCATGCAGCAGCATGTCATCTGCTCATCATCATCCATCATCATCATCATCATCATCACATCATCATCATCATCATCATCATCCATCATCATCATCATCATCAGCATCATCATCATCATCATCATCATCATCATCATCATCATCATCATCATCATCATCATCATCATCATCATCATCATCATCATCATCATCATCATCATCATCATCATCATCATCTATCATCATCATCATCATCATCATCATCATCATCATCATCATCATCATCATCATCATCATCATCATCATCATCATCATCATCATCATCATCATCATCATCATCATCATCATCATCATCATCATCATCATCATCATCATCATCATCATCATCATCATCATCATCATCATCATCATCATCATCATCATCATCATCATCATCATCATCATCATCATCATCATCATCATCATCATCATCATCATCATCATCATCATCATCATCATCATCATCATCATCATCATCATCATCATCATCATCATCATCATCATCATCATCATCATCATCATCATCATCATCATCATCATCATCATCATCATCATCATCATCATCATCATCATCATCATCATCATCATCATCATCATCATCATCATCATCATCATCATCATCATCATCATCATCATCATCATCATCATCATCATCATCATCATCATCATCATCATCATCATCATCATCATCATCATCATCATCATCATCATCATCATCATCATCATCATCATCATCATCATCAACATCATCATCATCATCATCATCATCATCATCATCATCATCATCATTCTCATCATCACCATCATCATCATCATCATCATACACGTTAGCTATAGGTGGGGAACACCTCAGCTACTGTGCCGCAATACAAAGAAAAAAAGGAGAGAAAAAAATCAACTGGTGAAAGCTGGCTGAGCTACCGGTAACGGATCGGCATCGTTCCAGTAAGCTACCAGCCGGCTGCTGTGCACCAAAAAAATTATTATGCAAAATTATATAAGCCTAAGTAATGAGGTCGTGGTTGGAGGGGGAGGCTGAGGGATGGGGTGGGACAAAGAAACTCACAGCACGAACGCCACTGAGGTCGGCTCCTAGCCATATCAGCAAGTGTGTCCAACCAAACGTGTTCATCATCTTCGGACCACAACCAGGGAGCCGAGACGTTCCAACCGAGGCCAGCTCAGGAGTGAGGGTCTTCATTCCTCTCAACCAAGTCATCGCTTGGCCAACCCTCCTCTTCTTACATCCACACCCCCGGCGCGCAAACAACACACGTCGCGGGAGTCGGTGGGCTGGCATGCGTAACAAGTGGCCGAGCCATCGGAGCCTGATGCGTGAAATAACGGTGCTGAGCGGTTCATTTCCTTTTCCTGTGCCATAAACAAGGCGTCGAACACGCTCGTTGCTCACGCGGTGTTCCCACCAAATGTGAGCTAAATTACGAAGGCACCGGTGGTCGAACGTAACTAGCCTCTTCAGGTCCGCTGCTTTAAGCGGCCAGGTTTCACAACCGTACAATAGGGTCGAACATACCGCTGCATTGCACACTCTACCCTTCAGGGCAAGAGTGATGTCGCGTCGGCGCCATAAGTGGCGAAGGTTAGCAAAAGCGCCCCGAGCTTTTGCTATACGATTCGTGATTTCATCTTCAATCCCACGGGCGCTGATACAACTTCCCAGGTAGTTGAATTTTTGAACGACTTCTAGCTGATCCCCACCAAGGGTCAGCGTAGGAGGCAGTCCAGACCAATCTTGGAGAAACGCTTTGCACTTCGAAGGTGCGAAGCAAAGCCCGAAGTGACGGACAGCTAGTGCTGATCTGTCCAGTGCCGCTTGGCACGTTTGTGAGCGGACACAGATCAGGGCAATATCATCAGCATACTCTAAATCAAGAAGTCGTTCTCCTGCGAGTAGCTCCACACCTTCTAAGTCGTGTCCTATAAAAGCGATTTCCATGACTTCGTCAACAGCGAAGTTGAAGAGAAAAGGTGACAGCGGGCATCCTTGTCTCACGCCGCTGTTGATATCAAAGGGCGACGACAACTTGCCGTAAGCCCTCACTCTGCCCGAGCTACGCGCATATAATGCTCGGATAATATTCACATATTTCTCAGGTACACCTTTCCTGAGTAGACAGTCCCGACCAATGCTTTACTTGACCCCGGATCCGATTCATCGCTTGTTAACGAGCAGCTACTACGGGAACTTAATTTACCAACTAGGACGTCAGTTGTGCGGATAGCAAGGGTTAACGGTGACTCATGTGTGTGTTCGCAGGTGGTACGACTAAAGCCGCAATCCTAGGATGGGAGTAAATCTCTGTACGTAAATCAGGCGTGGTCCGTCAAAAAGATGCCTAATGTATTAAGGATAATACCGTAACCAGAACGAGTACGTACTTGGGAGCACTTAATGGGCCTGCAGTTCTTCGAAAGTTGTGATCGAGGTGTCGGAGCATTAATTGGTATGGATGTCCCGGAAGTCCATTGGGCAATTGAGAGTCGATATGGAAAGTCCTCAGACCCATTTGCTATACAAATGCCATTGGGTTCGATTCTGCTTGGGTCATTTGTAGGATCAGACGCATCGACCCTTTGTAGCAACCTATTTATCGGAGATAATAGATCGACCTTTCTCGAGAGAATTTACGAGTTGGACTTTACTGAGTCGTGTACCTTAAGATCTGGAATGTCTGTCGACGATAAGCGTGCTCTAGAACAGTTAGAGTAATCCGTTGTTGCATGCAGCTCGCATTACCAACTCAGTTTACCATAGAAAGGTAGATGCCCAAATCTAACTAACAACTATCCGGTGGCTTACCAAATGGTGATGTTCATGCCCGGAAAACTCACTGGCAACCCAGCATTACATCAGATATACACTGCTGCGGTCGAGGAGTACACTTCAAACGGGTTTGCAGAAATGATTGACACGGAACCGTTTGGTAATAAGAACGGCGCTTGGTTTACGTCCCGTTATGCAGTAAGGCACCCAAATAAAGCTGGTAATGTTCGCGTCGTTTTTGACTGCTAGCACCTACCAAGGTACTTCCTTAAACCAAAAGTTGTTAAAATGACCGGGCCTGGTGAACAGTTTAGTCGGCATTTTTTTGAGGTTCAGAATGGGCACCGTGGCAGTGGTTGCAGATATTGAAGCTATGTTTCAACAGGTAATGGTGACCCAGGAAGATATAGACTGCCTAAGATTTCTATGGTGGCCAAATGGTCAGTTACACGAATCCCCTAAAGTGTTTCGTATGACGGTCCATCCATTCGGTGCAACATCTCACAGTTGCGCATCATTTCACTAAGAAGAACAATCGAAGACTGCAAGACCATGTATCCCGAGTCGACACTGGTACTGATGCAGCGATGTTTTTACCTTGACGATTTCTGTTCAACTGTTGTAGCCGAGAAGAAGCTCGCCATCTTATTACGAATTCTGAAGCAACTGCATCCAAGGGCGGATTCAGCTTAAGGAAATGGAAGTGTAACGACTGCCAAATTCTACTCGAAAGCACAAGGAATCCGGCATCCAACGAATCAGTTCAAATAACTCGGCAATCCGAGCACGTACAACCCACTCTGGGGTTGAAGTGGGATTTGTCAGACGATTACAAACCTATCGTCTGATAAAGTTCGAAGGCGACTGCATCTGAAAATCGATTTTATCTTTTTTCGCTTCGAGTTATGACCGATGAGGTTTAGTAGCCTCAATAATGCTGCGTGCCAAGCAACTATTGCAATCATTCGTACGAAAAGGACTTAGTTGGGATATTCAGGTAGACGGATCAGAATGAGAATAATCGTATCGTTTCTCGAGAGAAGGTTGAAGATTCCCCGGTATATTAGACCAAAGCCATTCACTGACGACGATGTACGGCTGCTTTGTTTCTTAGATGTTTCGGAAGATGCGTACGGAGTGGCCATTTAAGTTAGGATCGTCGACCGAAAAGAGCTGATTTGGTCTATCCACATTATGGGAAATTCGCGCTTTTCGTCGAAAACAGCAATTTCAATACCACGATTAGAATTAACAGCGACAGTATTTGCCCTCCGGTTAGCCATTCAGGCGGTTCACGATTTTCTGTTAGAAAGATAACCGATATTTTGGACAGAGTCGATGGTATGAAATAAATGAGAATATGCGTAGCTCGGGGTGTGGATGCGGATTTTGGGCGGTTCTCCGAGCTGACTGATTATTGTGCAGTCGATGGTAGTTCTACAGCTAATTCGTAATACGACCAAAAGGTTCACAACTTTCGTTGCGAACAGGCTATCCGAGGTGCATCAGTTTTTCACCCCAAAGCAGTGGAGGTAGGTCAAAACATTGCTGAACCCTGCAAACATAGCCTCACGTAGATTACGAGTGAATGATGAAGTCCTAATGACAAAGTGGTTTGACGGGCCTGATTTTCTACATCTCGAAGAAGCTCATTTGCCAAGGGCACCGAAAGGTTTGTGTGAAATTCAGATAGAGTGGCTAAAAAAAGAAAATGTCGTCAACTGTACAATTTTAAGCAACACTTGGCTAGATAGGCTCACAAGTTGCGATAGCTAAGTCAAGCTGAAACGATGTGTGGCCATCATGCGAAGATTTAAGCGGCATTTGATGAAAAGCTGAGGAAGATGTCCGAATTAACCAACCGAGGGTGGTTTGACATTGTCCGAACTTAACGAAGCAGAGACGAAAGTGGTACGAAAGGCATAACAACTCTTCTTTGCACATGAGATTAAAGTACTAAAAAGGAATCGATCTAACGAAACGTTCGAATTGCTCGTTGTAAGGACTGTGTCTATGCCTGCCTAACGGTATTCTACGACTGGGCGGTAGATTGAATTTTTCATCACTGCCGTATGACGCTAGACATCTCATCTTGCTTCCCGCCCAAAATTCCGTGAGCAGGCTGATTATTTTAGATTGTCATGAAAGAAATGGACATGTCGGAGCATCACATATGCTTTCCGAATGGTGTCAGCGCTATTTCATCCTACGCGGTGTTTCCACGATTCACAAAGCCCTGAAGGATTGCGCACTCTGTAAGATATGGAAGGCTCGACTCTGCGAACAACAGATTGCCCCTCATCAAGGACCGTTGCGTAGCATATCAACTAGCCTTTAACGCGTCAGCGTCGATTATTTCGGACCATTATTGGTAAAGGAAACACGAACAACGGGGAAGCGGTACGGCTGTATTTTCACTTGTCTCCCACTTAGAGCCGTACATATAGAAATAACGCACGCTATGCATACAGACTCCTTCTTGTGCGTCTTTGCAAGATTTGTATTGCGAATGGGAATACCACTGAGAGTGGATGGCGGTAAGGTACAGAATTTCCGGGGAGCTGAAGGTGGTTTGAAAGCTATTATTCGATCTTGGAACCAACATCAGCTGCGGCAGACTTTGAACGAAAGGAATTGCGAATGGATCTTCACTCCTCCTTATGCGAGTCATCGTGGCGGTACGTGGGAACGCCTGATCCGATCAACACGTATGATACTTAGAGTGATACTTGGTAAGCAGCTTGTCAACGACGAAATTCTTCAGACAGCGGTGGTTGAGGTGGAAAGAATACTTAACCACAGACACTTGATACCCAGTCCCGCTCATCCCGACAAATTCGGCCCTATATCACCCAGTCAATTGTTGACTAACATCTGACAGTCATTTACCACGAGCAGACACAGCTTCCCAACCGACTGGCAAGACGGTGGCGTCAGGTGCAGCAGCTGTCCGACGAATTTTGGAGAAGCCGCTTATTGTCTTATTTACCGACCCTACATTCGCGTCAAAAGTGGCATGTGAAGAGGCGGGTGATTTAGTTCTAGT